GTATTTTGTATGTTTTCAGGGAGAACTTACAACACCAAAAGAATTTCAGTAGGAATACCTTCATATTACTCTAAACAAAATATCCCTACCTAGCCAGAAAAACTAATTTCTTTATATTTTCTTTTTAAGCCTAAGAGATTTGAAAGTCTGAATAGGTATCTTGGCTAATTCTGAAGTTTATATCTTGTCAGTCTCTGTTGCTTAAAAGTCTGTTTTACTCAGGCAGAATGTCAGCTGTGGCATAGTATAAACTGGGCCCCATATATCCCACATCTCCCAAAACACTGAATAAAGAACTATGGAGAGAAGTTGTGAGTACATATTTGCTGATTGAAAGATTGTAGCAGGGCTTCCCTGGTGGCATAAGGGGTTAAGCACAGCACTGTGAAGCGATCCACAACCTCTGGAGCATGAGTTTGTTCCCCGGCCAGCCAGGATGCTACCCACATGGCACAGCAGACCTCTCCTGTCATGCCTGCTGCTCCCCTCAGCAGTATATTTCAGTCAATCTGCCTTTTTGGTTCCCCACTCTGGTGAATCCTTTCACCTGCCCCCACCCCCCGTGCCCCGCCCCCGTACCTCTGGCCTGTACCCTAGTTCTTATATACATAAATATATCTTGAAAAAAAAAAAAAAAGATTGTAGCATTGGCCATGACCCTTAACTCTGGGCTTTGCAAGCAGTCTGTCTCTATATTTCTACTCTTAGTAGATGTTCCTGGGGAGATTCTGCCTAGGAATCTGGTATACTCAGTAAGAAGTGAGTATATCAGGTTACCCTTACTGGGTTTTCTTGAAGGAGAATTGGAAATAGTTAGGGTAGGTATAGACAAATTTTTCTGTAAAACACCACATAGTAAATACTTTGACCATTGCAAGTCTTTCTCAAAATTCTTTGACCCTTCTAGGTTAGAAGCAGATACAGATACTATGGGTTTTTTTTTTTTTTTTACCTTACAAAATATGTGGTCAATGTAGGGTTAATTTGATACCCGTTTATGTCTCATTTCTCGATTTATTGGTAAAAAAAAAGTTGTCTCCTGTCTTAGTGAAATGGCTTTAGTTTTCCTTGGGAGGAAGAAAAGAGTGAGCCTTTGCTCCATCTTTGCTTAGCTGTATTTCATTCTTTCCTTGCTTCAGCTGTCAATACATAGCTTTTGTGTGAGCAAGGAAAATTCAAAGAAGCATATTAAGTCAGTCTCCTTTAAGTGCAGTAATTAAAAATGGTCATTATATATATTTAATATATATGTTCTTTCTATTTAGGTGCTGAATGCTCAGTCTGGGAAGTATTGAGATTTCTCACATCCCAGTGCCTTTCAGGCAGCTGCTATTAGTAGGCAATTACTTGATGGTTTCTATTAATCAGTCTGGTCAGGTTTAACTTGAAGTCACTCGCTCTTATGCTTTGTCTCATAACAGTCAGCATTTGGTATCAATTGCTGAAATGTCTTTTTTCCTCTGGCTGCAATTGAAATTAATTTGGTTTTCTTCCTGCTGTGCTTACCCTTGTGGAACATTATTTCTTCTTAGTTCTTGACATATCGGTTGCTTGATGCATAACTTGTGCTCAAACTCTCCTTGAGCTGAGCAGCCAACTAACTCATCCTGCCAAGGCTAATATTCATGCACGTTGGGCCTGTATCCTGTATCCTGGGGTACCCAGACTATGGTCCTCCCCTATCATGCTGGACATAGAGTAGGTTAGTAGGTGCCTCATAATTTCTAACTTCAAAGGGAATTTTATTCCTGAAGCATTAGCCCAAAATGAATGGATGTCCCCTTAAATGGCCCTTGACTCAAATAACTAGCCAAGTAAATGGACAGCCTTAATAGTAGGCCCTTCACTACCAATGACTTATGACTTATGACAAGAAGTGCTCACATGTGGAACCACAACTTGCTAAGGCTGGGGTGAATTTCAGAGGCTTTTGTGTGATGGGTTTGGTGTAATGCTAATAAACACAAAAACTTCTTTATAAACATATTCTATGTGGACCCCTGAGGCTATAATGCTGATGAGCTTATTTTATTTTTTTTTAATGAAAAATAAGATGAACTGGCTAGTACCCAATTAGAGAGATTCGGTCAGATCAGTAGAAGCTTTCAAGCCTGGACACAATAGAAGAGGTTTTAAGGGACTCAAGCAACAGAAGCTACAAAGAGAGAAACGCTGAACTTGCTTTTATTATCAGCAGCAGCTTTGTTTGTGCTTTCTCAAGGCTCAGAGCTGTGCGGCTATAAGACTGAACTCATTTCCCAACAAACTACTTTTGTTTCTCACTTGTAGTGTCTATGAATGAACTCTGTGAACTCCAGGCATCTTATTCCCTGTGAGTGCCAAGGGTATGACGGCATAATCAGCAGCTGTGGACAACCTCCAGCCCTCCCTCAGATGTCTCTTTCTATTGCAGAAATGATTCTGATCCAGGAGCCTCATCCTTCGGGTGTTAAGAAAGAGGATGAGCCTGGAGAAGAGTGGCCTTTTAAGTGTTGTTCTTGTCTATGCACTGCAGCTGGGAGATCGCCCTCTGTGCATCTTTTAAGATCAGTTTCTGTGTGATGGACTTGAAGGCAGATAATGAAGCAAAGAATCAGAATAAAAGTTCTGAGAATAATGAAACTCCATCTGCAGAGCCACCTTGAGTACAGATATATAAAGCTTCAGAAAGAAAGCTGTTCCATCTTAATGCAGTGAAGATTAGGAGTGTAATTAGTATTAGGATTGCATCTCTAATCTAGCTATATTGAGACCTAGCAGCAGAGTTCTAATAACATGTATCCTTTTCTTATCCTCCCTTGACTTTGCTTTTCCTGCTGACATCTCTGTCATTGATACATCCCATTTTGTGCACATTTACATGTTTTTCTCTGGGCTTTTATTAAAAATTAGAGAGACATGTGGTCTCAAAGCAGAAGCATCTATTGCATCAACTCAGTAACCTACAGATACATTTACTGAGCACTAAGGCAAACCCTACATCTTGCACTAGGATTCAATAGTGAACCAAGCAGACACAGACTTAGCCCAAAATAAGAAGATGAATAAAGAATCTCAAACTGCGATCAGCCCCCCCAGAAAAAGTACAAAATGTAAGATGGTCTTGTAGCTGGGTAGCTGATGAAGGCTAATAAGTTGGAGAAGTATGCTTTAGAGTGAGAACTGAAGGATGAATAAGTTAAAGCAAGAGGCGGATACAGGAACAGCAAAGTCTAACCAAGTTAGTTGGGCCTATTAGTGCAACTGAAAGCAGAAGAGTGTGGCCAGAGAATAGAGAGTTTGGGGGGAATGGGAGAGATGGGGGCACTGGCCAGGAGGAGGAGGAAGTGGGGGACACTGACCACATCAAGTAGGACCACAGATGTGCCTTTATCTTCAAATCAATGAGCTACCACTGAAAGGTTTATAAGAACAGAGATGTAACCAGATTAGTTTGAAAAAGATTGTGACTGCAGTGTACAGAATCTATTAAAGCGGGAAGTATGGTGTGGTTTTAAAGTAAGACTACAAATTCTTTGGTAATCCTTGCTTCAGGAGATGCGGCTTAATCCTTTTCCCCTTGAGAGTGGGATGGGCTTAGTGACTTACTCCTAATGAATAGGACATGATGGAAGTGACAGCGTATAACTCCTAAAACTACGTCAAAAAAGCAAATGTGACCTCCAACACACTTTCTCTAATCATTTGCTCTGGAGGAATCCAGCTAAAGTGTTGTGAAGAACTAAGTCCTAGCAAGAAACTGAGACCTCCTGCATCCAGTTTCATTCAAGCCTTCAGTTGATTATAGCCCCTGCCAACATGCTGATAATTCAAAGCCAGAAGAAGCCAGCTTAATGGTTCCCAACCCCCCTGGCTCTCCAACTGTACCAAATATGCCATTTTAAGCAGCTAAAACGTGGGATGATTTGTTATGCAATAACAGATAGCTAATATAGGAGACAATAGTGCTATAAATAGAAGGAATTTCCTATAGTTATCCAGGCAGACGGTGGCAGGTAGTTACTGCTCAAGGTCAACTTCACTTCCTCTTCATAGGAATGTGCATAGGAATGGGTAGTAAAGCATGACCATTGGAAATGCTGTAGCTTTTTTTTTTTTTAAGATTATTTATTTATACAAGAACTGGGGTACAGGTCAGAGGTACAGGAGGGTGAGAGAATTCACCAGAGAGAGTGGGGAGAAGAACTGGAAGACTGCCCGAAATACACTGCTGAGGGGAGCAGCCGGCAGACAGGAGAGGTCTGCCGGGCCATGTGGGTATCTCCCTGTCTGGCCAGGATCGAACCCATGCTGCAGAGGCTGTGGACAGCTTCACAGTTCTGCGCTCAACCCCCTGTGCCATCAGGGAGGCCCTGTAGCTTTGGTTTTGGTCCAGACTTTGCTCCTCAGTCATAGGCGATCTTGCAAAGCCTTTCTATGTCCATTTTTTTATTCATGTGATAGACTGAGTATATAATTTGCTCTTAACTTACATGGAGATAATACATATATAGTTCATAAAAACATTCTAATTGCTCAAGAATATTACTTGCCAGTTTTTATTATTTCATAGGTAGTAATCTCTCTCCCCCTATATTGTTCTTTGCTATGAAACTAACCCTATTAAACGCTGTTGTATTACTCTCATCCAGTTGCATTTGTAGATTTCCATTACTTTCAAAATAAACTTTTAGTGCTTTGACTCTGTATTGATTTGACTTATAACTTGAAGGGCCATCTTGTTATTTATGTGAATCTTTCCTCTGTGTAAAATCTTTGTCCCTTCACTAGTTTCATTTTTTGTGGTTTGTGATACTTGATTGAGTTCTTTCATTTCTCTTATCCTCAGTTTTCCCATCTGTGTAGTGTGCAAAATACATACCTGCCCCTCTTCACTTTTGAGGGGAGCATAATGGCAGTTGTTGCATTGTGACCTCATTTGTGAGCTCATTCTACTCACAAGGAGCCCTAGAAAGCTCCTGCACGCACAGACATAAAATAAGCTCCTGCATGCACATACACTTCCTGCATGCTCATACATAAAATAAAACAGCTACCAAAGGGCATCTTTCTGGGGCTTCCCTGGTGGCGCAAGGGGTTAGGACGCAACCTATGGACCTATCCGCAGCCTCTGCAGCACGAATTTGATCCCAGCTGGCCATGGAGGTACCCACATGGCTCAGCAGACCTCTCCTGCCTCTCCCTCTGCTTCCCTCAGCAGTGTATTTCAATCAATCTGCCTGTTCTGCTCCCCATTCTGTCTCTGGTGACACCTCTCACTACCTACACCTCTGGCCTATACCCTGGTTCTTGTATATATAAATAAATAAATCTTAAAAAAAAAAAAAAACGCAAAAAAAACAAAGGGCATGTTTCTGGACATTTCACCAATCATGAGGAGACTAACTTTAGTCTCAAGTCTCTGCAAGCATTAACTCACTTTTTGGATCAAGTACCATCAGTCTCACCTCTTGTTTCTTAATACAAGTTTGAGATGTGATTAATCACTGCTTATGCATGCTCAGTCATGTTTTATTGCCTAATTAACCTCAGACAATCTCTTGCCATTCACAGAACAATCTAAAACAGCTGCAACTCTACATTTACACACAGAGAGGAACAGGAAGATTCTTTCACAGGCTGAGGCAATAGCACCTCTGCTGATGGTTGCGGAGATGACCTCAAGTTTCCAGTCTGGACATCACTGGCCAAAGGAGCTTGAGAAATGGGTATGTTTAAATACATCCTAGATTTGACATTTTAAATAGTTCATCCTTGTGCTAACTTCTGATTTGTATAGTCCTTCTAGATTGGCTCAAAAATTATGTGGGCATGATTTTCCATTGTCTGTATTTCCTACTTATAATAACTGGAATAATGTACTTGGGAGAATTCCCTTCAAGGACCAGAAACAGTGCCTAAAAACATTACTTATGGATCTTTTCTTACCCTCTAAAAGTGTATCTTATAGGAAAGAGAGGTTGACAACTGAAAGCCAGGACTAGAGAGGCTCTTTCATTTGCCAGGGACCCAACCCAAAGTATTTTAAACTTTTGATTTTTTCTTGTTTATCACCAAATCATTTTAGTTAAGCTAAAGTATGGGCAGTCACTTTGCAATATGGTGTATGAGGAAGATTTCTGTGGCAATCTTTGCAGCTTTTTTTTTTTAATTCAAGTTCCCAGTAGAGGAACTCTAAGTTTCTCAGCATAATTTTACATATGAAACATAATTACCAATAGCAAGTGAGTAGTTTCATTGCTCTGCATTATCTGTAGCCTTCACACATCTATCCAAATATGAGTGTCACAAGTTCTTTATATAAAAATTCTGTGTTGCCGTTGATATTTCAAAGCCCCTTGAACAGAAATCTTATTATTGACCAATATAATTGAGATACAACCTGAATTCCAACGTTCAGGTTGAAATAGATAAACAAAAAAGTAAATAAATCTTAAGTATATATATCTCATTGAATTTTAATAAAATGAACACACCAATTTCTCACTTTTATTTTTAATTGACTATTTCTTTGTCAGTCATAATTTTATTTTTCCCTTAAAAGGGCAGGTAAACAATTTGAAAATTACTAGTTGTGTTACTGTATATTGATTTTCTTCTTAGTCAGATTTTAAATTAAACTGTTTATACATTGAGATCCCTTACTATTAACATAATACTATTAACACATTATAAACTGATCATGATTAATTACACTGATGTTAATTTATATTTTGTGTATATGGATATGTGTGTGTGTGTGCATGTGCAAATGGGGCTGATTTAGATATGCATGCTTAAAAATGGCCACTAGGTCATTGCTCTTAGTACTTGGCATAATATCTAAAAAATGAAATCTACTCAAAATATATGTATGTGTAAATATATGCACATATAATATATATGATTAAATTTTAAATGTGAAAAGTTACAGCTGGAAGGGACCTCAGAGACTTCTTTTGCACATGAAGAAACCAAGCCCCTATATTTTGCTGAGTGGCCCAGGGTCACACAGATTAGGGTCACACATTGATTCACCTACCTAGTTATATTACCTTCCAACACATTCAACCCAAATGCCCTATTATGATTGTTCTCTCTGCACCAAACAGTGAGAACTAGAACTCTTGCTGGCTAACACAGAGAAATCTCTTCCATTCATGGACTATGTCTCAGGAATTTCTCCTCTTCTAACAACTCAACACTCACCTTACTTACAGGTTCTGGTAGAGGTTGCCTTTAGATATGAGCTTTGGGGGAAGTTTCAGGAAAAATGCTGTCAAAACAAGCTAAAGGACTGTTGTTTTGAATGTATGCTTTAAATAGCCTTGTAAATGTATGCTTTAAATAGCCTTGAAGTTATTTTTTTGTGACACTCACAACAATAATTTGGGATTCAGATTGACAGGAAATTTATTCTCTGTTGCATCAGGGCCGCATTGAATAAATGACAGGAGGCTGTGAAAGACAGGACACTGCTGCTCAAGAGGCAGTGACCTGGTCTTTTTATTGGCGCAATAATCATACATGATTAATCATGCAGTACAGGAGAAAAAGGGTTATGGGAGGTATACAATTTCAAGAATGTATGGGGGCTACAGGGGGAGTGGGGGAGGAGTCTGTTGACCAGACATGATAATACATAATCTTCTTAAGCTATTTTCCAGATCCCTTTGGAATGTCTCAATGTTATCTCAAAGCATTTCCCAGACCATCCCCGTAGACCAACCTATCATATTAATGGCTACCTGGGCATCCCCAGGCCTGCCTCATGATGGTGGCCATTGCCCTTATGGCAGTCAGGTAGAAATGCCTTGCACAACTAGACAGGATTAAATACAGATTAATCAGAACACTCCAGGTCAAAGTATAAACTGGTTGGAATATTCCAACTTAATGGCTATGCCTTCGTTGAGGCACAAAGACCCAGGCACAGTACCCACAGTTCTCTATCTTGCTTATCAGTGAAACATAGAATTTGGATCACAGGTAGTTATTAAGCATGGGACAATCTAATGTAACAGGTGATGATAGAGTATTTGTATCTCCAGTGTAGGTTCTCCAAGGCTAGTATTCCACACGCTATTATACTGAAATAGCTATGATCTTCTCTATTCCATATGACCTTCTGCCTATCAGATACAATGTTTACATAGATACAGGCATGCAAAAGAAACTTCCTGAGAGGTACAGAAAAGTAAGAGATTCTTTCAGATCATGACCCCACTCTCCACCCCCACACACATGCAATTGGGATGATTAAAAGTTAAAGAATATACAGTGGTTGAAGCTTTATGTCTCTTGAAACATCTTTAGTTCAAGGTAACATCACTCTGGTGGACATGCTGCCTGTTAGCATATTTCTGAGCAATTTCTTCATCTATATTCTTCCTTATATGCTAGTACAACTTGCTAAAATGATGTTTACACTTCATAAAAGATATGTTCTACCAGTGATGTTTTTTAAAAAGTGGTTATTCTTTAACTCAAATCTGAATGATTCTCTTGCATTTGTGCCTTTGTTTCAAAATGCCTCAGATTGTTTTTAAAAAATAGAAAAGAGAGAGAAGAGAGAGGTATTCCTTTATAAAATAACGGAGATTAATTCCTCTGTTATTCGGTAGACAGGAAGGTGCATGAATTAGGCAGTGGTAGTATTCAATCCTGGAAATTTTATCTAGTCAGGGATGGGGGAGGCAGTGATTAGAAATGGCTTATATGAATTCTTTATTTTCATTTTCCCCAATGGATATGATTGTCATAAAGAAATTATGGTAAATCTAAGTTAACTTTTGGTAAAATAAACTTACCAATGTCAACTGTGTTGATATAGGGCAACAGACTCTGAATTTTCATAATCTCCATTACATGGATGCTTCTGGAGTAGACCAAGACACATATTAACCTTTATGTAATCATTCCACTGTGATGATAGAAGCCGGTTGTCTGTTCTCAAATAAGATTTTAATTAAATTGATAAATCCTCAGAAAAATCTATGAAATGTTTATAAAGTTACCCTGAGGATTTGCTGTCAGACTTCTAGCAATAAATGGTAATTTAAAAATAACTCAAGTTTTTACCTGTGTTGCTCCAACATCAGTGGTGATGAGTCATTGTCATTGGGCTTACTCTCCCACTTTAAAAAAATATAAAACCTGGAGTAAACAACAACAACAACAACAAAATAACTGTTTTGGTGATAGAACTGGATCCAGAGCAGAGGCACAGTAATCCTTAATGGGGGTGCCCTCAAAGTGAGTCCTATATTCATTGAACTTTTCTCCTGGAGACAATTTTCAGGCCTTGGTGCAGGGAGAGAGAGCCTTCTCAGTGAATGTGCTATAAAAAGTCAAGCACTTTTAAAACATGTTGTATGAATATATATGCCCTTTAACTCATGCAACTCTATAGCAAAATAGCAAAACAACCACAACAACAACAGCAACAAAAAAACAATTTGATTAAAAATGGGCAGAGGAGCTGAATAGATATGTTTCCAAAGAAGACACACTGATAGCCATCAGGTACATGAAAAGGTGGTCAGGGCCTCCCTGGTGGCCTAGGGGTTAAGTCTAGTGTTATCACCCCTATGGCCTGAGTTCAATCCCCAGCCAGGGAAGCTAACCCACATATGGCACAGCAGACCTCTCCTGTTTTTACCCTTCCTCCCCTTAGCAGTGTGTTTCAATAAATTCACCTGTTCTGCTCCCAACTCTGTCTCTGGTGAAGCCTCTCACCCCTCACACTTCTGGCCTATACCCCAGTTCTTATATGCATAAATAAATAAAAAGAAATCTTAAAAAAAGAAAAGGGAGCTTCCTGGTGGTGCAGGGGATTAACGTATGAAGCTATCCGCAGCCACGGCAGCACAAGTTTAATCCCTGGCCAGGGAGCTACCCACATGGCACAGCAGACCTCCCTAACTGCCCGCTGCTCCCCTCAGCAGTATATTTCAATCAATCTGTCCATTCTGTTTCCCAATCTGTCTCTGGTGAATCCTCTAACCAACCCCCCCATACCTCTGGCTGTACCCCAGTTCTTGTATGTATAAATAAATAATTCAAGAAAAGAAAAGGTGTTCAGGATCATCAGGGAAATGCAGATCAAAAGCACAATAAGACCACCTCACACCTGTGAGATGGCTCTTGTCAAGAAAGAACAAGCCCTGACAAGAATCTGGAGAAAAGAGAATCCTTGTGCACTGCTGGTGGGTATGTAAACTAATGTAACCCTTATGAAAAACATTGTGAAGTTCTTCCAAAAGTGAAAAATAGAATTGCCATAAGATACAGCAATCCGCCTTCTGGGTATTTGAAGGGAATGAAAACACTAACTCAGAGATACCTGCACCCCCATATTTATCTCAGGAAAACATACCAAAAATGTTCTTTATTTAAAAGTAATGATTTACTTAGAAATTGAGACCTAGAAAACTGAAACATTTGCTTTCCCTGTTGTGGTATGATACCTTGCCACACATTTAGTAAATTAAATCCTTTCCTCTTCCACTTTCTACCTTTTACTTGAGGAAATTGAGTGTTGATGGGTGAGTAGATGTGTGAGAATAACTGTCATTATCTAATAAAATCCACCTTTCCCTTAATTCCAGTCTCAAGAATTTATTGCATTGAATTTGAATCCGTGAATAACTGGAAGGACAGTATCTGAGTGGAAGAGCAGACAGGCACAACCACAGATAACTGGATAGACTGACCTGCTGAGCTGGAT